TTCTCAGAGGTTCCAATAACCATGGGCTTTAGAGTCTAACAGAAGTGGTTTAATCCTGTCTCTATCACCAAGCCATGAGGTGTATGACCTTTCTGGGCCTCAGTCTTCTCTGGGAACAAGAAACACCTCACCAAGTCTTTGTAAAGGCATAGTGCAACAATGCACATAAAGAGCCCAGCACTATACTTGGCATGTAGTATGCTCTATCCTTCCTTCCTTCTCTCCTGCCCTCCAGGTTTCTGTATTTGTTCATGCTTGCCTACCTTGGTGCTTTTGCTCATAGTGCTTCTTCTACCTGGAATGCCTTTTCCACATTTTCTGCTTGTTGGAATTCTTCCCAAAGCTGTCATCATACTACCCAACCACAACAAACAAATACCCAGATAAACCATCCTTCATTAACAAATAAAGTATTTATTGAGAGTCTCTTATATGTTGGGCACTGATGCTAGTGCCTAGGAATACAGAGATGATTCAGGTCTAATCCCAGAGGTCAAAAAATTCAGTTGACTAAGAACAAGTGACTATAGCACTATGAGGTGAGAGTAGCAACAAAAGTCTACAGTGCTGGGAGAATCCAGAAGAGAAAGCTTTGGGTCAAATGGACTGGAAAAGCCTTCACAGAGACAAGGACCTTTGAATTGACCTGGAGGGTAAGTAATGTTTGACAGGCAGAGAAGAGGGAAAAGGATGTCTAAGACTGTCCTGGACCCCAAATATCTGAGCTAGATGAAAGGACCAGCATGATTGGAGGCTAATCTGGAGTAGGGAGGGGATAGAGACAGAGTTGGAAAGGTAGGAGGGAACCACAGTATAAACAGTGTTGGGACAGAGCAAAGGAGACCTGGGGTCCCATGAAAAACACCACCCAGAAGAGATCTCAAGAAATCACTTCTCAGTTTCTGGCCAAGATAGAGGAGTAGGTAGACACACTGTGCCTCCTCACACAACTAAAATAAGGACAACAAACATTTAGAAACAAAAAAACAACCACTAATGACAAAAAACTGAACTGTATGGAAGTCCAACAACCAGGGAGTTAAAGTAGACATATTCATCCAGACCAGTAGGAAGGGCAGAGTTGGGAGGCTGGGCAGAGAGGAGTCACAGCAAAAAAAAAAAAGCGGTGGCTGGCAGACCCTGAGCACACAAAGCAGCAGCGGGAGGACCCAGTGAGGCATCAGATTGTGGAGGGACACCAGCGTGCAGGGTGGCTGGCTGACCATGGGTCCCACATTCGAGTGCAGATAAACCAGGCAAAACTGGGGAGTGAGACAGACCTCACAACCCAGGGTCCCAGTGTGGGGAAATAAAGCCTCAAAACACCAATCGAAAACACCTGTGGTTGAGGTGCCGGAAAAGAGTCCCAGACTCACAGGAGAGGTTTTTGGAGAGACCTACAGGGTCCTAGAATGTACACAAACCCACCCACCTGGGGAATCAGCACCAGTAGGGCCCAGTTTGCTTGGAGGAAGTGGCGGAAGTGACTGAAATCCAGCAGAGAGAGGAGCAAGTGTCTTTATTCCCTCTTGGACCCCTCCCCTACATATAGCACCACAACCCACTGACTGGGTTGCTCCACCCTGGTGAACACCTAAGGCTCCACCCCTCACTACATAACAGGTGTGCCAAGACAAAAAAAAAAAATGGCCCAAATGAAAGGACAAATCAAAGCTCCAGAAAAAGTACAACTAAGTGACAAAAAGATAGCCAACCTATCAGATGCACAGTTCAAAGCACTGGTGATCAGGATGCTCACAGAATTGGTTGAATTTGGTTGCAAATTTGATGAAAAAATGAAGGTTATGCTAAGTGAAATAAAGGAAAATGTACAGGGAACCAATAATGATAGGAAGGAAATTTGGACGCAAATCAATGGAGTGGACCAGAAGGAAGAAAAGAAACAATCAAACAGAAAAAGAATGAAGAAACAAGAATTCAGAAAAAGGAGGAGAGGCTTAGGAACTTCCAGGACATCTTTAAACATTCCAACATCCAAATTATAGGGGTACCAGAAGGAGAAGAGGAAGAGTAACAAGTGGAAAAGTTATTTGAAAAAAAATAATAAAGGAGAACTTCCCCAACTGGCAAAGGAAATAGACTTCCAGGAAGTCCAGTAAGCTCAGAGAGTCCCAACGAAGTTGGACCCAAGGCAGAACACACCACAGCACATCATAATTACATTAGCCAAGATAGAAATGAAGGAGAGAATCCTAGAATCAGCAAGAGATAAGGAGACAGTTACCTACAAAGGAGTTCCCATCAGACTGTCAGCAGATTTCTCAAAGGAGACCTTGCAGGCAAGAAGGGGCTGGAAAGTAGTATTCCAAGTCATGAAAAGCAAGGACCTACATCCAAGATTGTTCTGTCCAGCAAAGCTTTCATTTAGAATGGGGGAAGAGCAGATAAAGTACTTCCCAGATAAGGTAAAGTTAAAGGAGTTCCTCATCACCAAGCCCTTATTATATGAAATGTTAAAGGGACTCATCTAAGAAAAAGAAGATAAAAACATGTACAGTAAAATGACAGCAAGCCCACAATTATTAACAACCACACCTAAAACAAAAACAAAAACAAACTAAGCAAACAACTAGAACAGGAACAGAACCACAGAAATGGAGATCACATGGAGGGTTAGCAATAGGGGAGTGGGATGGGGAAAGAGGGGGAAAAGGTATGGAGAATAAGTAGCATAGATGGTAGGTAGAAAATAGACAGGGGTGGGGGCAAGAATAGTATGGGAAATGTAGAAACCAAAGAACTTATAAGTATGACACATGGATATAAACTAAAGGGGGGAATGTGGGTGGGAGGGGGTGTGCAGGGTAGAGGAGAGTGAAGGGGGGAAATGGGACAACTGTAATAGCATAATCAATAAAATATACTTTTAAAAAAGAAATCACTTCTCTCTAGCCTTCATTATAACATTAACTAAGGGGCCATGGACTATAGGATCGTAACTCAAAGTATTACTGGCAGTGTAGGTGGCAAAACTGGACCATGGTTCTTGAGTTCAGCAAAGAAAGAATTCAGAGACAAGAACTCAAATTGCAAGAGAAATTTTATTTAGAAAGTTACAAAGGTAGTAGAAATGAGCCAGGTGGGCTGTGTAGGCTCAGGAAACAAGTTGTAGCGCAAAAGTAGGGCCCTTGGAGCTTAGGAGAGAGAAAGGCAAAGGTAACAGGCCTGGGGGGAAGAAAAAGGGGAAGGGAAAGATGCCACATGCTCCCAAGAGGGAGAGTGCATGCTGAGTCTTTCATCTTGAGGGTTTAAAGGCTGGGGCTTTAGGGAAGGTTTTAGGGGAGGGTATCAATATAATATTCATCAGCTTTATACTGATGCACCCGAATACGATTTATTCCCATGACTGCATCCCTCCTTGGGTATGGTTGGCACAAATGGCACTAATTGGATTTTTGTTATCTATCTCCCAGAGTAGGGTGATTTAAGCTATTTACCCTCTGGGTGGGGAGAAGTATAAACCATTTACTCTTAAGAGTTCATGGTTAGACAAGTACACTTTTGTGATTTACTACCTTATTTTGCCATGTACCCATGCGCACCCATGGTTTTGTGTGCACTATACACGGGACTATTATACTCATAATTATACCCATGGTCTGTAATCATTATGTCCATGTATAATCCTCATCCTTATTTTTCCCTCAAAAATGTGGACAAAACTGAGAACATTACACATGGCAAAATATGGTAATTTTAATAATTTAGTTTACCCAATATATCCAAAGAATTGTCATGTTTCAACACATAATGAGTGTAAAAGTATTGAGATAGTTTATGTTCTATTTTATGGTAGATGGTTGTAAACTACCATCTCAGTTCCTTTATTTTACTTGTCCTGGCTTACTAGGCTGTCTCAAAAGGACATAAGTGTATGGAGGCCCCCTTCTGCTGATATTTTTTTAATAGAAATAAACAACTTTCCTTTTGATTTCTTAAATTCAATTGCAAAATTTAGAAAACCCCACTCCACTCACGAGGGATCGAATGTTGGAAGACTCTGTACTTTCTGAAGAAGGTTGCAATTTGGGAGTGAAAATTTGATCTCACCATCCAGCCATCTCTCTCTCTCTTTGTGAACCAGAGGTCAACCCCAGAGCTGGTTCAGCACAATGTCCCACCCTAGAGCCTTCTTGAAAATGTTCCTGGACACATGTTGTTGCTGGTCTCCAGGCTTCGCCTGGCCCCATGACTGAAGCAGCCAACATTATTGCTCTCTAGATACCAGGGCAGCTATCTATCTGTCAATACTTACTCACCACCTGCTAGGCTTATCTATACAGGGCCAGGCAAGGTCTCTGACAACTTCACCATTCGTTGCCTCCATGTTCCTTGTGTTCCAGACACAGCAGCCCTTTCATTATGCTTGAAATCTCCTTTGTGTGTGTTTGTCTGGAAGGGTCTGATCACAGTCACTCCTAGCTCCTTTCCCCTGCCCCAGTCCCCAAATGCGCACACACACACACATTCATATATCCAACTCACACTCTCCTTGGCAAGCTCCTACTTATCCTTCTGTTTTACTCATGTGTCACAGCTCATAGTTCTCACTGAAACCTCCTTCAGCCATCCCCTTCCCCCAATGGTCAATCACTCTCTGAAGTCTACAGCACTTCTCCCCCCTCCTTTAATAGCACTGTCCTATTGTGCAATAACATATCTGATGATTTGTCTGCAACTCCCGGGAAAATTAGGCTTCTTTGAGGCAGTGTTAGAGGTTTACACATCTCTAATGTTAGCACCAGCATAAAGCCTACTTCATAGTAAAAAATGTTTATTGATGGCCTCCACCACTAAGTTGGAAGCACAACAGGGTAAGGACTTTCTTTGTCCTCTTTAGTGTTATAGACTCTGCATAGCCAGGACAGCTCCTGGTATGTAGAAGGCACTCAGTAAAAATTGGCTGAATTAATTGGTTGAATTTATTGAATTTAATCAACTCAAGACAGTATGATGAATTGAAAGACTTAGACAAGTTGTTTAAGTTTTCTGAAAATGGATTTATTTGGGGATTATCATGATTTCAAATATTTATTGAGCACATGCCCAATTTTTTTTGCACAAGCAATGAGGTATATGAAGGTAAACAAACAAGAAACATAGATGTGTGAAGTGAGGGATAAGATGTCTAAAGCAATACCAACACAAGATAGGAATCATAAGTGTCATAGAAGAGGGGAGAGAAAGTGCTACGGAAACTCAAGACAGAGGGGACTTCTTCTGAAGTCTTCTTACGATTGGTGGGTGTCTTCACAGAGGACAAAGCATTTATGATGTTTCCCAGTCTGATCTCATGACCTTGGCAGCCACATGACTCTGGTCCTCTGGATGTAGTTGATTGGAGGGGGACACTTAACCTGAACTGAGCCATTAGTCTCTGTCTTCCAAGAATCGGTATTAGAGAAGCTAATCAGTTTTTGCTGGTCCCTTGAATGAAAGAGAAATGGCCCTGAAGCTGTGTAGTTGTTGCCTTTTGTAAACTCAGAGATGCAGAGAATGCTGGTCTGGAAAGGGGACAGAATGCATGGGGTACCAATAAAGCAGAAAGTAGTAGCCATGTGGCCTCAGCAAGCCAGAGGCTGAGGCCAGGCTTTCTGACAATGTCCATTAACTCATTCAATCCCCTCGATGACCTGCAGCAGCAGCTTCTGCCCATGGATCTTCTGAGACTCCCAGGCTTCTTAGGAATAATACCCCCTTTATGCCTCAGAGAACTGGACTGTATCACTGCAGCCAGCAAACCACAGTGAATGCTGTGTAGGGGTAAAGAAATGGGCCATTGCCAGGAGGAGGGCTCCTGGGGAAAGGGTATGAGAGTATATGGTCTTCATTTCCACTTCACCTTCCCTCACTCCCCTTAAGTATCTCCAGTCCAGTGGCCCTTCCATACGCTCTAAACCTGGCCAGCAGCCTAGCAGCAAAGGATCTGCATGGCTCAGGCAAAGGCAGTCCTAGAGATTCATGGGTGTCTGGAAGCCCATTCTTATGGACCCCTGGAATAAACTATGGTATCCCTGGTCCCAGAGAATGACTCTATAGCCAAGTTCCCTGTAACAGAAGTGACTCACTCCATGGAATAGAGTTCAGAAGTGTTTGTACACATGCATACTTACATATCCGTGCATGGATGGTGAAGAACACATGAATTCATATACAAATACTCCCTCTATATCTTCTTAGAATCATATTGGTGCATGCAAGTGTCTGTGCAGAAAAATCATAGTCATCATCACAAAGAAAGTCATCATCACTAAGCTCCCACCTTGTGGTGGCTTTGAGGTCTGCAAAAGTGCACAATCAGGAGCCTCTTTACAAAAATTTAACCCAGCAATTCTGAATGGGATCATACCTGCAATCAAAGCTTATACTGTGTGGGAGGTGGAGGAGGGGTCAATGGCATGGGATTCTCAAGGGCTTGTGGGATTCTGACATTTGTCTGATTGGGCAGGGGAGGGGCACAGCCAGGTCTGATGGGCCCTGAGGCATATTCAATTGGAGCGAGAGCTCTCCTTAAAAAACAATACACACATACACACACACACACATACACACACACACACACGTGTGTGTAATTGCTAACATGATACCAGGTTCTGGGCTTTGGAATGGGCTGGTGCAGGGGAAAGATCCTGAAGCTTTAGGGTCCCTAGCTTCACAAGAAATCTACTTGGGGATGGGGTAATGAAAGCTTGAACATAAACTTCACTTTCCTTCTTTCCTTGTCATTTCCAGACCAACTGAAGCCTTCAGAGGATTTGTACTTCCACAAAAGTACCACTTTTCTCCTAGAGGTGATGTAGTATGGGCTTCTACAAGCCTCTTACAAACTAGAGAGGGCAAGCAGCATGAATCAACTGACCAGGTGAAAAGCATGAGTTTGGCAGCTTGGCATTTGGCAGCTTGACACTCCTCTAACTAGCAGTTTCCAAAGTTTTAAATTTTGACCTCTTTATTTCTACTGCTCTCAGATCATTCCCCTTTCTCAACTCCCCAGGTTACACAATCCCTTCCTTTGAGGGAGACTCACCACACATCTTGCAATATCACTTTGGGCCATGGTAGCAGAGAAAAAAATAGCTAAGACTATGAGCTTGGAACGCCTGGGCTTGAAGCCCAGTTCTGTCACTTCTTGGCTGAATGACTTTAGGCAAGTTATTTCAGCTTTATCTCTAACTTTTGGTTTCCTCTCTGCAAAACTGAGATAAAAATTGACCCCACTTCATACGATTATTGTGCAAATAATTCAAAGAAAATGTCGAATGCAGTAAATGCTTGTAAGGTGACTTTCATGAATTATAACTCACCAGCACTGTGAGCTAGCTGCTGGTGGATGTAATGCTCTGGTCATCAGGATCTTGCTCTCCTCTTGTTGAAGTCTCTTTGTTCATCTTTCTGTCTAAGGAAGTCAAAGAGTTTGGAACAGTAGACAAGAAACTTGGGATGATTCTCCCCATTTTACAGCTGACCAAGGTAAGGCTCAGAGCTGTTAAGGGTGGGACCAAATCTTCAGAAGAGCAAAAGCATGTCCACATAAGGGATCAAAGCCCCATGGCCTCTCAGTACTCTCCTGTGAACTGGGAGCACAGTAGGCCTATCCCTATGGAAGCTTTTACTCTCCTGGAGACCTGTGGGGAGGGAGAAGTAGGCAGCAAATGGTCCAGAGGAAGTCACCTGTCTCCACCAACCTACAGCAGGTGTGTTCTGCTTCCTCCTTCAACTCCAACTCAGCATGACCAGACATGGAAAGCTCTGGGTTCCCTGAGCCATTAGGAGGTCTGTGGTCCTCATCAATTAATTGTTCGGTCACTAGCTAGCTCTGAGATTCTGTTCTTTTGTCTCTAAAATCAGAGACTGGGTTTGATGATATCCAAGGTTCTTATCTTAACCTCTTCAGAAATTGCTTCATCTCAAAGTCACATGAAGAAAGAGCCAGAGCCGATATCCCAGAGTGTTATACTTCTCAAAAACCACTACACCCTCTCTGGATTCCCTCATGTCTCAGAGAATTCTCAACCCTGATAGGACATAGCCTGAAATGACCACCTGCTGTCATCATATGTCCATGGAACCTGTAGTGTTTATGAGGAAAAGGAGTGGATCTGAAGGTGGCAGTAGAAGCTTGGTTGGGTCTTGAGCAAAAAACAAAAATTAGGGAACTGAGGTGCAAATAAGCATAGACACCTGTCTATTTCCATACTGGCAGGTAAAACAGTATCAGGTTAAAGTTGGCAGATATTTAGACATTTACAAGAATGTCTGAACCTTGACATGTGAGATGCTGAAATGAGTGACCACACATAAATGTGAAAACCGCTTGGTGCCTCTGACTTCCATGTGTTCTGCTTAGGAGAATATATAACATGATCCCCACCCAACCTACCCCCACCATAGATTCCCTTTCTGCCTAAGAATTCTAGAATTGTGCATGGGTTAAGCAAGAAAGTACAAAGGAAGACTGACTTGTCAAAAGGAATAGGTTTGGCAATAAGTTTGTCACAGTGTGACCCCAGACAAGTTACTTAACTTAACCATGCAAAAATCTAGGATGTTCACTTCCTGTTCAGCAAGACCTCTGTACTACAGGGGTTGAGCCCTGACCCTTAGAGGCTGACCCTGGCATGACAGTCAGGGAAGGTTCTTCCCTCAAGGTCTTATCCCAGCTTCCCCCTCAGCACAAATAGGCTTTGCAACCTGGATCATCAGGCAATGTTTGCTACCCATCTCCTAGACCATGAGCATCCCTGAGTTTGTTGCCCTCAGCTGGATGAAGGGTAAAGATGCAGAGGAAGAAGATGATGCCTTTCACGGTCTCCTAGAAGCAAGCCTATGGACTCCCAGGAGCTTCCAGGCAAATGGGGGTAAAAAAGAACACATTGACATAATCCTACAGGAGCTCATGGAGAAAAAAATACTTCATGAAAATTAAGATAGCTCAATAAAGAATGGAGAATGGACTGAATTAACCAGAGAAAGGTTCTTGGAGAAGTTGAGTTTTAAGACTGGTAGTAGAAGGAATGAGGAGAAGGGAGTCATTGATTCAGACACAACTGATAGAATAAGAATGGGTTGTGCGGAATAACCTGAGGACAAGCTCCAATCCTGGGGTAGGCAAGTGCACAGGTATCCATGTGTAGAGGTCATGTTAGTTGATATAAGTTACTTGATATAAGGTACTCCCAAGCCCTGAGTCTGTTGCCCCATCCACAGAATGAGGAAGAAGGTAAACTAGCTAGTTCCTACAGTTCCTTACAGCTCCAGCCTTCTACATTTTATAATCCTGACATATAGGGAAGAGTTTGAGGGTGAGTTGGCTTGGGTAAAGTAGAAAACAGATGCTGAGTAGAATATAGGTGCTAAGTAAAGAATAGGTGCTAAGTAAAAGGGGATAGGCTAGGCTCTTGAGGCACCTAATCTGAGGGTAATCCAGGTATATCAATTTGAGTTGAGCAAACTCAAAGTTCACTCCTGACCAAGCACCATACAGGTCTGTTCCCTGTAAATCATCCCAGAACAAAAGGCAACCTGTGGACATGACAGAATAAAGCCAGATGGATATGAAGAAACTGAAGTGTGTCAGCAAGGTGGGGCTGGGTGTAGAAAGGTACTGTAGCTTTATGACGACTCATCTATCCCCTCTAACAACAGACCACCAACCACAGACTGTTGCCAGCAGAACAGTACTAGTCCTAGCTGTCAGGTGTTACTCTAGGCTCAAATTATTAAGTTGGCCCATGTGTCTGGATCTAGATTGGTTCCTGTGTGTTAAGTGTATGTGCAGAGAGAAGAGAGCCCTCCAGAGAAACACCTGGTCAAGGGGTTGCTTCAATAGGCACAGGGAGATGGGGTGGGGTTTGGGAGGCCCAGTGTGATCTGCAGAGCACAAGGTTTGGGGATACCCCATCCTACCCTGAAGGATCTAGTCAGTGGCCTTTTCCCTGAGAATCCTGAAATTTTCCATTCCACAGCACCTTTACCAATTCAAATGGGTGCCAAGGGCAGAAATAGGTTTAGAAAGTAAGGAGTGTGGTGGGATTACAGTTTGACAAAGCAAGGGGGTTGGTACAGGTCATGATACATGGTCCAGGGAAATCCCCAAACAGAAGTACCCCAGCTGGTTTCCCCATCACTTTGGGTAACTTTCCATTGCCATACACCCACACCCACCACCCAGGTCTCTTCTAAAGAACCTATCACTCTCTTAGTGACCTGTTGAGCACAAGAATCAAAAGAAGCAATCAACCTGGTTCCTGAAGTTGAGAAACTACAGTCTACACGGAGAACAAAACTTACATTCATGCCACAAGAAGGGAGGGCCCATGAGGGAAACAATCAAGGACCAAACTGAAAATATAAGAGTCTCAGAGAAGGGCAGTCAATGAGAGCTGGAGCAGTGGGAAGAGGTTTCATAGAAGAGGGGCATCTAGAGCATAGTGGCACAGAAATCTCTGACTGTGGGGGAGGCAGGGAGGCAGGGTGAGGAGTTTAGAGCAGAGGACAGAAATTGGACTATATAATGGGACAGACCGTAAAAAGAAACTGGAGTTAAATAAGCCATCACTTGTTGAGTGTCTACTGTATGCCACTTGCTGTGCCAGGCACTTTCTATCTGTTATTTCATTTTATCTTTCCAGCAAGAGTGGTAATCCCCTAGCTGGGTGGCTCAGTTAGTTGGAGCATCCTCCTGTACACCAAAGGACTGCAAGTTTGATTCTCAGTCAGAGCACATACCTAGGTTTCGGGTTCAATCCCAAGTCAGGGAATGTATGGGAGGCAACCAACTGATCTCTCTCTCTCTCTCTCTCTCTCTCTCTCTCTCTCTCTCCCCCCCCCCACCTCCTTCTCTAGAATCAATAAACATATCCTCAGGTGAGGGTTTTTTAAAAAGAGTATTAGTATCTTTATTTCCATTTTGCATATGGGAAACTGAGGTACTTATATAAATGTAGACTTAACCTGGTAGCCAGTGAAAAGTCTCTGTCAGTGGCCAAAAAGGGGAGTAGCTTGATGGTAATGAGGATGAAGTAAGAGTGACCTGGCCATGGAATCCAAGAGGCTGGAGAACATTGTCCAGCTACCACTTAAGGGATCAAGAGGAGAGATGACCCAGGATCCCCCTAGATGTCTTTCGGAAACCGGGTGATGCTCTCTGACCTGGGGATTCACCCTCTTGACTCAGGTGCACTAAAATTAGCCTTTGCCCCAAGGGCGTTTCCCCACACCTGGTGTCAGCCCTGTCCCACTCTCCTTTCGCTGAAGCTCAGCTTCTCTATCTGTCAGCAAGAACACTCTTTCCTGGCCAGGTGATTGGATGAGATAATTCATCATCACTAACTGTTAAGGAGGCCAACAAGGTGTTACCATCACAGCTACCCAAACTGTGGCTATGACTAATCTAGGCAGTGTCAGAGACTCAGAAAGCATTAATAATTATTATAATTATTTTTTCCAGCCTTGGTTTTTTTTTCCTCTTTTTGAGGTTCCAGGCATACGATGAAGAGTGACAGGAAGGCCCAACCTTTCCTAAAACCGAGAGGACGTGCCATTTTCTTCAGCCTCCCACTCAGCTTGTGGTAGGTGAGGGGAGTGCCCACAGGGGTCCTATTTGACTCTCTGAACAGCATCTTGATGGAGATTCGAGCACCACTGAGCATTCTAGAGGCTGGGGTGAGTCAGGCCAGATGGCAGAATCAGAGACGTTCTATGAGACCGTAGCCCTGAGGCGTGCAGTCGGGGAATCCCTCAAGGGAACCGGACCATGCTGACCCAAGCCGGCTGAAGGAAAACCCTGTCTTGCTACATGACGCCTGATTCATGGCTTTCCCCGCCTGGAACTTGGCTCACGTGCTGTCCCTGACGCAGCCATCCCAGCTACCTCAAAATATTTGTAAAATACCCACCCCCCAAATTCCTCAGACAGCAAACTCTACCTGAGATGGAGATACTAGAGTGTCAGACACGCTGAAAGTCACCTGCAGAAAGCCTGGTCAGGATCTGACTCCAGGATACCGTGGTGACTGCCAGCAGCCTTTGTGGGTATCCCACAAACACAGGCACAACTCTAACACTTCCAGGCCACTCCGTACTGGACCCTGAATGCCCTTCATTCCTCTGCTACTAGGATGCAAACCATTCCCAGCAGAGGGACAGGAAAAAAGGACAAGGAAACTAACATTTATGGTGTACTTTCTATGGGCTGGACACCATCTGAAGAACTTCAAATTCTTCATTTCAGCTCATCATCACACAGCCCCATGAAATGTACCATTGTGATTCTTAACTGAAGAAAAAATTTGCCCAAGAAGAAAATTTTACCCATCAGAGCTTTCAGGGCTGGAATTAGGACCAAAATGTCTTTGATTTTAAAGCCCATGGTTTTTTAACATGCCACTGGCTTCC